TTCAATATGGATATTTTACAACAAAGCTAATTACCAGAGGACAACTATTGAGAAAGAAATCAGATATGTTATAAAAAGGTCTGTCCATCTGCCTTCATTCAAAAAAGTCACTCACAGAAATTTGTACATTACTTTGGCCCAAAACTTCTCAACTTACTACCTCTCGAGTTCCGGAATAATATAGACATAAAAGAAATACAAAGTTGCTATAAAATCATTTGTACACTACAATCAACGTATTATTGAAAATTTATATTAAACATATAAGTACTTTTGAATTCTCCATTCTCTAGAAATAATAAACGTATGCTGTCTGACAAAGTATAAATCTCCTTTCAAAACATGGAATACCTAATACAACACAAGCACACTTGCGCTTAGGTGAAATGTTCCAATATACAGGGTCCTGCAACAGTGGCGCGGTGTTCCATATCTCTATATAGGAAGCAGATAGGAATCTAATTTTCTATAATATTACCTTATTGCTCGAGCTCGACAAAATAAAAATATTGGCGGTCACACAGGGTGTTCGATTTTTTCTGGGCGGATCCCAACTGTGTCTTTTTGAATGGCAACCTATATTTGTTACTGTTTTATTTTTAATAAATTTTATTCTATTCTATCGTGATGGAAAACCTCCCCATGATGGTATTTTTGGTATAGTGTTCTAAACTATGCAAAAGTACCTGAAAGTATAAATTTTGTATACGTTTATGACTTCAGAAATCGCTCAAAAATACTAATATTTTTCACGTCTGAACCGTGACAGATGCTCACAAAAATTGGTAAAAAAACAAGGTGACATTGATTTTTATCGTAATTTCTTCAATGGAAGAAAAATGATGAGTATTGTGGGCTGCGTCAGTGAACGTATATGATTATCACAATTAATTGAAATTGAGGGGTCAATTAACGTTCCATGTATGAAAAATGAAAGGAAAAAGAGGCTTCAGCCAGCTTGTATTGTTGTAATAATTTCTTAACTTTTTGATTAAACATAATTTTTCAAGTATTGAGGTTACAAAGAAAGTGAACAAATTGATGTGTATGACTTGAATTCATTTCGTTAGGTTTATTTCAGTAGTATTTTAATTAGTACCTAAATAGAGTTAGTATACCGAGTGACAACGAACTCATTGTACACAGTGCCATTCAGTCTTATAGTTCTCATATTGATTCATTTCTATTGTATTGATACTTATTCAATGGCATGAATGCGAGCGAAGCCGCTCATTTATCAAACTTCAGCTTCAATGTGTACCTCTTTCACAACAAAAAGGTCGATTGAAATGAAAGTGAATCCCGGTATACTTGATTTAATATGTAAACTATCAATTCAATAAGGATTCTGAAGTTTTCACAAACTACATAAAAGATATTTAGACCAGCTATAATTTTCACTAAGTATTCAATATCTTGAATTTTGAAACAGACATTTTATGAAAATAATGTCAATAATATAATTACCTCATTATGGAATGCAATAAACTTCGAAACTTGTTAGAAAAGTTTACTGGTGTAATGTGTCAGCTCTCAGAATTATTATCTTTTGTGTTATGTAATTTATTAGAAGATTAAATGTTATTAAGTTCCAACACCAAATTTACGGCACGGTTATTGCAGGACCGGAAATCATATAATTCGATTCTTACTTTGAAAAACAGTTGGCCCCATATAACAGACATAGAACAACGCTGTTCTATTTTCTTTGTTACGACTTCAAGGGATATCTCAAGTTCAGATTCGAATGAAAAGTTGTAGGTACCTTTGTATATAGAAAAATTGTACGTAAATTTGATAAAAACGTCTTTGAAATATGCGAGAACTGCATGAAATCAAGAATATTCATTGACTACATTTGTGATAGGTTGTAGGTAAAGGAGTCCTGCTTTTGAGATGAAATTATTTAGTCTACTGAATGAAAAGCCTGCATAGGTTTTATTCATAATAAATTCCATCTTATCTATTGGCTAGCTGGAGGAAACTTTCCGACGCAGGATTTTGAATTGAGTCTACTTCAATTGGAATAATGATAAATGTATGAAGATGAAACTATTCATTGTTGTACACATTTCAGGAAGTGTGATTTGTATAAATTGAGAAACAGATAAATGAAATAAATTCATTATTTTTATCATTGCGTAAATTTATAGAAATTTCTTTAGGTATCATTGATAAATTCACCACCCCCATTTTTTTGTTTGTTTGTTACAAGAAACATCAGTGGCGGACACATTTTGGTCAATAATACTGGGTAAACTGTGTCCCCAGTAGCCACTGGACTCAATATTTAATTGAGGCTAAATGAAACTGTTATCACTACCAAAAACTTAACACTGCCAAATTCTACCAGAATCTGATGAGGGATATTTGCAATAATATTGCAATATTATTACTGAAAAATAATTTTTGATCATTTCCAGGCGTATGCTTACATGAACCTCCTTTTCATAAAATTATCTCCTGATCTGGCCCTCACATTTTTTCACCGTGTTTAGGAAACACCGTGTAGGTATATTCGCTTTGAAAATTGAAAAGCAGTGTCAAAAATTAAAATACTTTTTCTTCAAATAATATTCAGGTTGATTTAAGAAAAAATGGAATTTTTGGATAGATAATAATCTTCTTCTACTCACTCCATTTTACACTAATAATTAGGTGTTTGACAGCAGGTAGGTACTGGCTCATTTATAATACACCTGTATTCTAAATTATTGGCGAAATATTGTAATCAATTTTTCAATCATTTAATTGAGTTCTGACTGATTGACTGAATGAGTGTTAGGAATCACACGTTAAAAGGTAAGACCTCATTAGTCCTCGACTCGCACAAGTTTCTCGACTTCTGAGAGTTGTCGTTCGTATGAGGGCGACAGCTGATTAACGGAAAAACAGATTTTAAACGAATTTTTTTCAAACAGAGTTTATTATCCAAAGCCATGATCTCATACAAATATATTGTACATTACTTTCTATCGTCAGTCGTAGAAAAAGTATGGTAAGCACCTCGAGGATAAGACCAATTATGCCCACTCGCGAATTATCGCACTCGGCTAACGCCTCGTGCTTACAATTTTTCGCTCGTGGGTAATTGGCTTCTTATCCTACTATTTAATCTGTGATCCTACTCGATACGTAATATACTATTGAAATGATGTATCACAAGCACTTTATTATGATTTGAAAAGGTGTTTTTTGTAGAAGAGTATTTCACAATTCATATATTCAATTTGAGAATTCAAGGTCAGCTACAAGAATTTCGAATTCTTCTACTCCATATATAGAAGGTGAACTGAAACCTCAGTGGCAAGGATGAATAATTCAACCTATTCGTAGACTCTGGAGACTTATAGTTGATATCTATTTTATGAATATCAATACTGTATTTCAATAAACGATTAATATTTGCTAATATAGGGGAAATTTTTATTTGGTTGAAAAATATTTCGGAATCTCTACTCTTACTCTTGTTCAATATNCCATTTTACACTAATAATTAGGTGTTTGACAGCAGGTAGGTACTGGCTCATTTATAATACACCTGTATTCTAAATTATTGGCGAAATATTGTAATCAATTTTTCAATCATTTAATTGAGTTCTGACTGATTGACTGAATGAGTGTTAGGAATCACACGTTAAAAGGTAAGACCTCATTAGTCCTTGACTCGCACAGATTTTGAACAGATTTTTTTCAAACAGAGTTTATTATCCAAAGCCATGATCTCATACAAATATATTGTACATTACTTTCTATCGTCAGTCGTAGAAAAAGTATGGTAAGCACCTCGAGGATAAGACCAATTATGCCCACTCGCGAATTATCGCACTCGGCTAACGCCTCGTGCTTACAATTTTTCGCTCGTGGGTAATTGGCTTCTTATCCTACTATTTAATCTGTGATCCTACTCGATACGTAATATACTATTGAAATGATGTATCACAAGCACTTTATTATAATTTGAAAAGCTGTTTTTTGTAGAAGAGTATTTCACAATTCATATATTCAATTTGAGAATTCAAGGTCAGCTACAAGAATTTCGAATTCTTCTACTCCATATATAGAAGGTGAACTGAAACCTCAGTGGCAAGGATGAATAATTCAACCTATTCGTAGACTCTGGAGACTTATAGTTGATATCTATTTTATGAATATCAATACTGTATTTCAATAAACGATTAATATTTGCTAATATAGGGGAAATTTTTATTTGGTTGAAAAATATTTCGGAATCTCTACTCTTACTCTTGTTCAATATGGATAATTCAGAACAAAGCTAATTACCAAAGGACAACTATTGAGACAGAAACCAGATATATTATAAAAAGGTCTGTCCATCTGCCTTCATTCAAAAAAGTCACTCACAGAAATTTGTACATTACTTTGGCCCAAAACTTCTCAACTTACTACCACTCGAGTCCCGGAATATTATAGACATAAAGAAAAAAAGTAGTTGCTATAAAATCATTTGTACACTACAATTAACTTATTATTGAAAATAATAATTCAACCTATTCGTAGACTCTGGAGACTTATAGTTGATATCTATTTTATGAATATCAATACTGTATTTCAATAAACTATTAATATTTGCTAATATAGGGGAAATTTTTATTTGGTTGAAAAATATTTCGGAATTTCTAAATATTAAAAAAAAATATTCAAGTTGCCTAGAAGATGAATGACACTTCTAATACTAATGTTAAAAATATTCCAAATGTCATAACATCTAGTAAATATTAAATAAATACTCGGAATTTACTACAACTAAAATACGCGTGAAATTTAAAATATCAGTAATAATATAAATTTTCACTAAGAATATATGATGAGTATGAAGTCCTTTGAACTGTTCCAATTGATGTCGATATTTGAATAATCACTTCTTTGTATCTAACGTGTCTGAATAATCTCACTTTTCGAACTTAAACGTATGTATTCAGAGTCATCTACAAACTATTATCATTTTGTTAAATAATACTAGTCGAATTTATACTTACCAAAACGAGACCACACGAAAATTTGAGCCACATCTTTTTTTAGTGAATTCACGAAAAAATTGATTAAAAAAAATATTCTTCAAAAAGTCACTCACAATTCAGTCATTCATCACGCAAATGGTCCCAAGTTTGCGCAAAATAACTTTTATAGCCGCACCCCACTGCAACAAAGAATTCTTGGTCGAATCGCAAGGTAAGGCAGGGCTGCTCAACACTTTCACACTCGAGGCTTACTCTTTGAAGGAGACGGTACAGTCTGCAATTTGGTATGGTTTAGTTATTTTAAGATTATTCAATACCGTTGTGGGAATTTTCTAATTCATCGATAACACATTTAGTTCTACGAGCTATATCTGGAATCAATGAAGTCGCCCTGGAGCGCCAATTAATTTTTGTTGTTGTTTTTATTTTTATCGTTATAGAAGTATATATAAAATATACCACTTTTCCCAAAATTCTCCAAAACAATCAATTTGCATTAAGAATATCTTGAGCTCTTGCAAATGCTTCAGAAAAGTAGTGGACTTGAACGAAATTATTAATCAATCAAAAAAGCGATCCCTCATTGTTTTTTTGCAAAACTGGAATAAGGAGGAATAAGAAGAATAGCCTTCATATTATTGTGATCACAAAATTAGTCAAGGAATCTTCAAATAACACCTTATTGTGAAATTTTCACTTGACAGTTTACAAAAGCACAAACAACCGCATCACGTGGTTCGTTCTACAATAGCTTTCTCAAGCGTTTTTTCAACGACAAAACACAAGTACTACAGGAAAATCCTTAAGGCGCTCTTAGAGCGGTGCCTGTGCAAAAGTAATGATTCACATTACTTTTGCACACTGAAGATTGAATCCATTTGGAAAAACGTTCTCAGGAAGTTTATTCCACATAAACGCAGTTCTCCAAATGAAAAAGTTCTTGAACTGTGAAGTTCGAGATGAACTCAGTTGAACCTCAAAACGATGAGCAGCTACAATCCGTCGCGTATTTCTGACGTGTATCGCTCATCTTGGTGGAGTCAAATGTGCCAAGTCACTTGAACACTTCCCGTGAAAGTATATATAAAAGAGAGACAAATCTCCAACCCTTCTTCGATGTTCCAG